ATGTACAAATATAGTTATTATAATCACAAAAAAAAAAAAAACTGAGACTCAACTGTTACAAGTGCTACTATCAGCTACAACCTCGAGCATGATTCTTTTATTGAAATAACTTAATACAAGAATATGCCCCTTGCACGTTTTGAAAAAAAATGCTTTACTACAAAAACTCCCATATACTTGTTTGAAAAGAATCTAAAATATTTCTAGCATCATGACAAATATTTATATATGTTTTTTTCTTACGCGGTGCAATATTGTACAACGCGTACAGGGACTCGAAAAATTATCTTTCTACTGCGATATCGTATTGCTTTTTAACTGAAAGACATCTGCCCCAGTTAGCCCACTCAATCGTCAAGCGTCTCACCGGGTAGTTCTTTGATGTCGCATCTCAAACCATTCATATTTCATGGTCGGTCGGTCAACCGCACGGTTATTATAACTGCTCCGAATAGTCAAGAAACACCATATCAGAAACTGTATTTCACATTAAAAAAAAAAAATAATATTATGTTAGTTTATTTTCATCCGATTCACCCCATTGATATTTGATTTATTCATCATTATAATCACGTCATTAAATTATTATTATACATCTGTATGCCGGTAAAATGCATACATTTTAATAGAAAATAAGAAATATGAAAAACAACTGGCAGCTCGGTGCTGAACCGTGCCAACTGAAATATTATTCCGAAACAGCGTATTGTTTCTTTGTCAGAAATAATTCGAAGAACGATGAAAAGAAAAAGAAAAAAGAAAATGAAAACGCGTGTTCATGCGGTATCCCCACAACGCATCGTGTCCGTCAAACGCTATAACGTAATCGCACGCTGAAAATGCGATTCATCGACGTGTGTGAAGTAAGCCCCCCCACTATAAAAAAAACTTTCCAAAATAATTGTAACCTTATTTTCTTAATTTGTAACTATTTGTAACCAAGTTTTTAGAATTTGTAACCTCATATTTTTCAAGCTACGGGTACTTTCTCAATGAGGGGATAACTTCACGCAGCCCCCCCCAATTCAACGAAATCGTCCAAAACAAATTGTAACTTATAAAGCCCAATTTGTAACTATTTGTAACCAACTTTTTGAAATTTGTAACCTCTTCAATTTCGTGTAGTCATCGATTTCCCTATGGGGGGCTGGCTCCCCCAATTCAACGAAATCGTCCAAAACAAATTGTAACTTATAAAACTCAATTTGTAACTATTTGTAACCATCTTTTTAGAATTTGTAACCTCGGCCCTTCCGAGTAATTGTAAATTTCTCATGAGGAGCTGGCCCCCCCAATTAAACCGAATCGTCCAAAACAAGTTGTAACTTATAAAACTCAATTTGTAACTATTTGTAACCAACTTTTTGGAATTTGTAACCTCATCAATTTTAAGTACCGATGGATTTCCCAAAGAAGATAACTGAATAAAAAAATAAGTTTTTAATTTATAATATCACCCAGTTCAATCAATTCGTCTAGAACAGATCGTAAGTTGAAGAAAATAAATCTATATTTAAGAAAAACAAAATCTAGAATGAATAAATGTCTTAATTAACTAGAATTTTACTTTTATTTTTATTTGATTAGGCTAAAATCTTAAATCAAAGATATTTTACAACATACTCAAATTATAAACGTATAAAATAAATTATTACTACTCGTAACTTATTATGAGAAGCCACTTCACATTCCTTAAAATTCAATAGTATAAAATAAATTATTAAGTAGATTAATGTAAATATTAATTTGTATTATTAAAATTATTAATTAAAATTATTTTTTAATATAAATATACACCTGTTAGAGCCTTACAAAAATAAATAAAAAAATTAATTAAATTTTAAAACGCTTAAAAATCTAACATACTTAATCTGATATTTTTATATAAAATAATAGATGTGGTTTTACATATTTGGATTCTATACACTTATATATTGTTCTTTTTTTTACCAAGTTATTATATATTTCCCAATAACCTTTACACGTTTGCAGTGTGTTACGTAGTGGCCCATGTTTTTTACATCTGAATCTCCAATGTATGAATTTGTAACCTCGGCCCTTTCGAGTAATTGTAAATTTCTCAATGAGGGGCTGGCCCCCCCCCCAATTTAACCGAATCGTCCAAAACAAGTTGTAACTTATAAAAATCAATTTGTAACTATTTGTAACCAAATTTTTGGAATTTGTAACCTCATCAATTTTAAGTACCGATGGATTTCCCAAAGAAGATAACTGAATAAAAAAATAAGTTTTTAATTTATAATATCACCCAGTTCAATCAATTCGTCTAGAACAGATCGTAAGTTGAAGAAAATAAATGAATTAGGCATTTAATTTTATTTGATTTGACTATATGCCTGATTTAACTTTATGCCTACGACATGTACAATATATATAATTAATTTTTTACATTGTATTATTTTTGTTTTTAATTTTTATTATTGCCAAATATTATTTTACCATATCCATCATTTGTGTTTTGTACTTCAATAAATGCAGTGCAGTGAAATTGTAATTATACCACAGTTTTTTCAATTGGTTAATTAAGTTAATTAATAATAATATATTAAGAATGGCACTAAAAAAGGTAAGTTAAACATAATAAATTATTTGTAAAGTTATTAGTTCTATTATTTATATGTTCGAATAACCTAACCTGCAGATATTCAAAGTAATATGTCAAATTCTAGTTTTACCGAAGAGTCTGAAGATGAAGAAATGGATTTGGATTTTGATGGTGATGAAAGTCTTAAAACTTTTCATATTGATATTCCGTATGAAGCTTATCAAAAAATGAAACCGATTGATGTTGAGTATGGCAATGGAAAAAATAAAAGAAAATATTCAGTATTGAAACCAGGCGTTTGGTCAAATATAATATTTGATGAATTTGTAAAAATACACAAGTTGCCATGTTGTTACATATTTAAAAGATGTAAATTTTATAACAGTAAATCTGCTAAATGTTTTTTAGTTTTTAATGCAACTTGTAAAACTGATAAATGTTATGCCAAACTTAAAGGTGTAGCTGTTAAGCACCCTCTCGAAGATCAACCTTTAAAACTTATTTTAAAAACCAAAGATACTAGAGGAATAGTAATATAATATAATAATAATTCAAAAAGGAACTTAAATGGAGAAAAAAGATATAGTATTGGAGAAGATCTACAACACCTGCGTGCAAATACTTGGAGAAATGATCAAATAAGGAGAAAATGTGACTTTGGAGATATAATACCAACAAACATTTATCAGACAAATGTGTTAAGAAAGGCTAAACAAGAATTTCGAGATAAAAAATTAGAAATCGTAAAAAAAAATCCAATTTTGTCCTTAGTGGGAATGAAACATACAGTTCCTTATGCTGGATCAATTCATAACATAAGTATTGATCGAGTAATCGTCCATTATTGGTCTCCGTATCAGATGGTTGTTTACAAGAAATCAAAAACAAATTCATTGCGTAATTGTAGACTTTGTATTGATACAACTGGAAGTGTCGTAAGAAATATAAATAGAACATCACAGGAATTACAATCATCACATATTTTTTTATATGTCGCAGTTTTAAATGATGGATTTATTCAAGTACCAGTGTGTCAAATGCTCTAAGAAGTACAAGATTTAGCAACTATAACTTATTGGTTAAGTTAATGGATAAGAGCTGGTGCTACTTAACCATATGAAGTTGTGGTTGATTATTCAAATGCACTTATAAGAGCTGTTACACGTTCTTTCTGTTATGGTTTATCTAAGATACAATATTGTGAAATGAGTTTGAAGATTCTTCAAGATGAAGAAGATGGTGTAATTGTTTCAAATTCTAAACTATATGTTTATGTGCGTTTGGATATTGCCCATTTAATTAAAATGATTTGTAGATGGAAGTGTTTTAAGGTAAGAAGACACGGACAAATTAAAGAATTTTACGTCAGAGCCATAATTCTCCTTAAAAAATCAAAAACACTTAATGAATTTAAAACAATGTTAACTGAAATTTTAGTAATTGCATCTTCAGAAATTGATGGTAATATAGAAGGTACAAAATATTACACTTCGTCAGAAAAAATTCAGAGAAAATATTTTAAAACAAATCAAAAATGTTGATTTCAAAGAAAATATAATTTCAGATGACCAAGAAATAGTTGAAGAAAATGAAAATATTCAAAATAATGTTCAATGTCTTAATAATATTTCAAATAATATGGATACATTTATTAAAATTATTAAAGAACGTGTAGCAGTTCTCTCCGATACACGTGGTGATCGTTTGAATGGGTACTTTTTACCTGGCTTATGTGCTTCTCTTCTTCGGATTACCAAAGATTTTCCTCTCTGGACAAACATAATGGCTAGATACTATAAATCAAAGTATGAAATGGCCACTTGAGCACCAGTCGAAGGATATTTTTCTCATTCCAAAAATGAATTGAGACAATCACTTAGCACCATAGACCGTTTTGTTGGTTCACATTTATTATCGATAGAAGGAGAATTAAAAATGGCCAGATTATTACAAGTTAACAAAATTCAAGATTATAAATCAAAAAATAATTTTAGATCAAACAACAGTAGTACTGATATGATATATGGTAATGAAACAAATAAGGAAATTTATATAAATAGCGATATAAGTAATGATGTTGAATCGGAATTTTATAGTGATGATGATATTTCTATCAATTCAGATAAATCTGATTTAAATATAATGATAACAGATGAACACAAGAAAATTGGAGAAATAAAGCAGACCAACATATCAAAATTAAAAAAAAAATAATAAATTCCAAACGATTATCAAAATATACAAGTCCATGTTCAGATATTCGTCGTGTACTAAACACTTCAGGATTACGATCAACTTCATTATCAGTGATATTAAACGGAAATCTTTTACCCGCTGTTAAAGTAAATAAAGAAAAAAATTCTGATATTTAACACGTGTGCTATTGATTCGCTTTTAGTAGCAATAACAGTAAGTTACATCGATAGCAAAAGTTATAAGTTATATATTGATAATAATAAAATGAATCCTTTTATAAGATTATGCAAAGATGTAGCTCTTCATGGATCAACAAGCATTACTTATCAACAACGAGGTAATTTGCTGCTAGAAAGTGAATTTTTCAAAAAGTCACCAGTAGAATCCGGAACCTCAATGTTGGACGCAAATATCAATATTATATCTTTAAATAACAAGCTTCTTTCTGATATACCTAGCAGTATACAAACATTGGAATGTACCATTTGTAATACAAAAACCGTATTTCATGATGCAACAATAATACTCAACGAATTGTTCAATAGTAGTGGACACTTAGAAGATATAAATAAATATTTAAATAAATATATTACGGAAAAAAAAGAAAAATGGTGTCCAAACTGCAAAAAAATAAGTAGAAATTCCATAAGAGTATTGCAGGAACATATTTTATTGGAAACAGACGTATTTAAATATAATACGATAAATGAAAATAAAATCTTAGTCAATGATATAACATCAAAGTTGTTTATTGGAAAAGAAAGGTAAATATTTAGATGTTAATAATAACTATTCATATATATATTTTAGGAAGTAATTTATTATATACTAATACTATAAATAATTTATTAATTAGGTTTTCACTACAGTCAATAATTTCATACATTGGAGATTCAGATGTAAAAAACATGGGCCACTACGTAACACACTGCAAACGTGTAAAGGTTATTGGGAAATATATAATAACTTGGTAAAAAAAAGAACAATATATAAGTGTATAGAATCCAAATATGTAAAACCACATCTATTATTTTATATAAAAATATCAGATTAAGTATGTTAGATTTTTAAGCGTTTTAAAATTTAATTAATTTTTTTATTTATTTTTGTAAGGCTCTAACAGGTGTATATTTATATTAAAAAATAATTTTAATTAATAATTTTAATAATACAAATTAATATTTACATTAATCTACTTAATAATTTATTTTATACTATTGAATTTTAAGGAATGTGAAGTGGCTTCTCATAATAAGTTACGAGTAGTAATAATTTATTTTATACGTTTATAATTTGAGTATGTTGTAAAATATCTTTGATTTAAGATTTTAGCCTAATCAAATAAAAATAAAAGTAAAATTCTAGTTAATTAAGACATTTATTCATTCTAGATTTTGTTTTTCTTAAATATAGATTTATTTTCTTCAACTTACGATCTGTTCTAGACGAATTGATTGAACTGGGTGATATTATAAATTAAAAACTTATTTTTTTATTCAGTTATCTTCTTTGGGAAATCCATCGGTACTTAAAATTGATGAGGTTACAAATTCCAAAAAGTTGGTTACAAATAGTTACAAATTGAGTTTTATAAGTTACAACTTGTTTTGGACGATTTCGTTGAATTGGGGGAGCCAGCCCCCCATAGGGAAATCGGTGACTACACGAAATTGAAGAGGTTACAAATTTCAAAAAGTTGGTTACAAATAGTTACAAATTGGGCTTTATAAGTTACAATTTGTTTTGGACGATTTCGTTGAATTGGGGGGGGGCTGCGTGAAGTTAGCCCCTCATTGAGAAAGTACCCGTAGCTTGAAAAATATGAGGTTACAAATTCTAAAAACTTGGTTACAAATAGTTACAAATTAAGAAAATAAGGTTACAATTATTTTGGAAAGTTTTTTTTATAGTGGGGGGGCTAACTTCACACACGTGATTCATCGTCCGTCGTCCTTCGCACTGCTTCCAGTGTAATGCATTATGTCCAGTAGCGTGTTAGTTAGATGTAAAAGGTATTCATCTTCCACATTTTTTTTTAATGATGGTTAATTATTATTTATTAATAATTACATATTAGAGTAAAATTATATTTTAATTTTACTATGATTAGATATATAATAAAAATTAACTAAAAAAATAATTTTCATTAAATACGAGACATACACGTAATAAAAATACCATTTTAAATGTAATATTATTATATAGGACTTCGTATTAATATATATACTAAGAATATTATTAATTTACTCTTAAACAGCCCTTAGAAAAAATTGTATCTACACCACTGATTATGTCCGTCTGTTTCCAGGTTCTTGAGTTACAGCTACGTAGCCGCGTTCAACCTGTGGCTGATGTTGTGCCCGTCGACGCTGAGCCACGATTGGCAAATGAACTCGCTACCGTTGGTCACGTCCCTGAACGACGTTAGGAATATCGGGACGTGCGTCACCGCAGCCTTCTTGTTGTGCGCTACGTGCAGGATACTTTCGGACATGGACGTAAGTGGAAAAAATAAAAAAAATAAATAAACGAATAACAACCCCGATCCGACCGTTATGCCGACCCGCTCTCCTGACCCGGCGATTAGGGTCGCGTGTAGACGAGGGATACGAGGTAGACCGCAGCTGTATCCACGGTTCCACGTGCACACCAGGTACGACCACCGAACGTGGCGTGTAGGTGTAAGGCCACGGTGATCTCGACAGGAGTCGATCGTGAAGTACGACATTCGATATATTTCTAACCCCGAAACCAACACTGCTCTCCTCGAACCTTCCGTAAGCAAACGTAAATGTCGTCACCCGGATCGAATTGTTGAATCTCCGGATTCAACTGTTACATATCGAGACTCAAAAATATCCGCACGTCGGCCGATTACTTGTTGTTAAAAACCGTCTTATGTAATACGTTCTCAATGTTTTCGCGAATTTCAAATGTACGAGACGATACCTAACTTGTCTTCGTCTATCTGCGTACTCATGTTATAGCCGTTCGTGAATATCGCTACAACGTTCGGTGATTGTAGCCGAATAAGTTTTTAAACGATAATCACATCATCCTTAGTAATAATATTGCCCTTGGTCCAATATTTGCATGAACTTTTTAACTCATGATTACGTTACGTAATAGTGCACGTGAAAATGAATCATTTAAAACCGTCGGTTTGACGACGAATTTGGTTAATAATGCAACAGGGAATGCACACATGTAAATAGATCTTAATTGAAACTGACGTTTCAGCCCATGTCATGCGATATAAAATGAAAAATACATGACCGTTTGTAGGCACGGAACCTCATGGTTTATGACGACAATACTGTGAAACTAACATAATAACGCTGAGCCGGGGTAATGTATCCGACCAAATGACCATAATTAATGTGGGGATATTTTGAGTGCAACACCCCGCAGCGCGCTAACAGGAATTCCGAAGGTGGACTTTCGGTGAGTTATGTTTTCCGTCCTTAAACCTGCCCTTGCGCATCTTTAGACCGGTCGCCCTATCATCATTACCTATCCTTAAACACCTCCCCCCCATCCCCCGTGACTTTGCAACCCATAGCCGATAAATTCTCGCGGTCTCGAGCGTTCGTTTCGGGTGCAGAAAGCGCGCGCGCGCATAGGGTTCATTCCGGAGAATGTATACACCGGCGTTTTATGCGCAATCAATTCGAGCGGGGCAGCCGGTAGGTCGGGTGCGGCTTCATAATGATAAGCGAATAAAGGTCGACCTGGTGGGCTCGTTAACATTTGCCCGAAATGTTTTGGCAAAGATAAACGTCGAAATTTAGGTCAACGGACGGAGAACATTGAACCGAGTAGTGCGCACATCGTACGCATGTGCACGACACGTAACCCGTGTTTGCGTATACGCATATGTACACAGGGGCGTATTTTGGGGGGTGGCAAAGGGGCGACCCCCCCTGAATCCTTATTCAAGAATTCGATTTTATGTCAGAAACACATTTCAAATTTTTTTAATGTGGATAATTTTATAATGAAATCAAATTACGCGTGGCTGTGAATATTGAATTAAGCTTTATATCAAGTCCATACTTAATGAAAAATCAAATAAAACACTAGCGTGACATTCAAAATACAGACAGGTTTTAAAAAAGATCTAACGACAAAAATCGATTCTAAGTGGATCTGGCATTAGATTAAAAAAAAAAAACACACAAATGCTAAGGATTCGCCAGATTAAAATATTACCAATAATTTTACTTGTAAATGTTGAGCATAAATTAAAGAAAAATTTGAGCCCCCCTGCACTGGAAGTAAGTCTAAACACGCTCTTGAATGTAAACGTATGAGGTATGGGTGGACACATTTTGGTGAGGTACACGGAAGTCCGACGGTAGCGTTGGATGAACTATTTTATCCTATGATTTTAATTAAACGTTCAATAACCGTACTGCACGTACCGAACGTACGACGTGGCACCACTGCCACTTCATACTATCGTCCGAATGGTGGGACACCGTCGCTTTGTCGAGCACGTATCGTGCTACCACCGTGAGCCACAGCCACAGCCCTTCGCCATTAATTTCACCCTCAAAATAATAATAATACATAAATTAATAAAAACTTGGATATTGTTGCTTCAATTTCCAACAAATCGAGATGTATCGTGTTTTTATTTTTATTATTACTGTCGTTGTCGTCACAATATCGTTGCTATTATTATTATTATTATTATTATTACTATCATCATCACCGTCTCCGTCATCATTGTCATAGTTATTGTTGCTATTGTACAGCTACTTTAACTGAACAATATGACGGTAGTGGCACGAGGGGAGACAACGCGAACCTCGAACGCGTACGTGCCACGTATGACCAAGGCTTTAACGCGATTAAGTTCATATTCTTCCGAAATAGTAACAACACATAACAGTTGTAACAGTAGTATTATTAATAATATATATATGAGCGCGCGTGTTAATAAATTACATTAATATCACTTTGATTCCCAATTGGTAATGGCGTAATAATATTTTAAATGTTATATATTATGTATTTTATTTCGTCATATACTCTGTCATGACGTATCTATTGTTTTTTTTTTTTTTTTTATCCCAAGTCAGGTAATTTATCGCATGGGTTTTATTCGGTTATATATGTGCAGTTAATGCGAAAAAGAATAGAAGAACCACCAAGTCTACCCATTGATTCCATGAAGACGTTCTCTGAAGAAAATTACGCTCACTCGTCCAGAACACAAATAGTTGTACGCCTCAGCTGGTATCCCAACGAACTGATTGACTTCTCGAATTTCTAAAAAACGTAACATTTCGTTAACCGACAATTTTTTTCTCCCCGTTCTATCCCGATTTATTGTACAATTCTTTCGTGTGTCGCAACTTTTTATAAGAAATAATTATAGAGGAACATAGAAACCGATATTTCAATACACAATAATTGTACTAAACCGATTTTCGGATATCGTTATCTAAACCGTATATTATTCAATATTAATGTCGATAAAAATTCTTAAAAATTTCGATTTTATTATTAATTTATCTTTCGACGCAACATTTAATTTAAAATATAATCAAATATTTCCTATATACATATCTATTACACTTACGTATCATTAGACCGACTAAACCATTATTACATAGAACTCAATCGTATGATAGTATAATATGTATTAATGTTTTAAACAATTGCCTTCCCTTTTCTTCCTTTTGCTGTCATGTACCTGTAATGTAAAATAACAAATTTAACTAATTTTTTTTATCTGCAAGATTTTTCAAAAAGCAATTTTATAAAACTCGCAACTGTAATAGTTGAATAGTTATTACGATATCGTACTATTTTTTTTTATTTATTTTTTTTTCAATATCGATATTGCGTGTGTGACACGCCACATGAAACGATATCATTACTAAAATAAAATATTGTTGTGCATCACGTCGTTATTATTTCACATTTTTCACACGCCCAATGAAGTTCATCACTCATCGACCGTAGTCCAATGGGGCCGGTGCACAATATCGACTTCTGATCGTTGACAACTATTCTTCGTCGATAACATCATAACGTCGCTATGAAGCGTCGCACTACTGTACAGCATTGAGAAAACTTATACCTCTTAGGTCAATAGGCGTGGAACAATTCGCATGGCGTTTTAACGTGATCGGGGGTGACCCGTTAAATATGTGATATTCAGTGAAGGTTTTCTGGTCCTTTTGAATATATTTAACCGTAACTTGGGAGCATAAAGAAAGGATATTCATTTTACAAATAAATGTAGATTGATTTAGGCGTTATTAAAGTTTAATACAAAATGCAACTTACTGGCTTATGGATGTGTAGAGCACAATATAAAGTATGGCTAACTCGGATGGTAGTCGTGTCTGAACTCCATATTGTGCTCTAGACATCCATAAGCCAATAAGTTGCATTTTTTATTTAACTTTAATAATGCCTAAATCAATTTACATTTATTTATAACATTAAGGTCCTTTCCTTTATGCTCTCAAGCTACAGTTAAAAATATTGAAAAGAACCAGAAAACATTCACTGAATATCACATATCTAACAAACGTTATTCGAGGTTCCACGTACTCCTCGTTAATCGTCTGTGTGCTTAGCGCACGGAGCTTGCGTCGTCAAAATTATGATTTTTTTTATTTTTTTTTTTCAATTTCGAATCTATTACGAAGTACCAAATCGATGAAAATAAAAAATGAAAATAAAAAAAATTACAGTCGGTAATATCCTCGTTAGCCACCGATCAACGTTTGTGTGCGTTGATGTTTACCCTTTGTTTTGATGTTCGCGTCGCGTGCACGTAATGTTCGTATAATGTTATAATGATAGCATGTTGTTTTTTCCTGTTTTTACAGGCGCAGAAACACGGCACTCAAGTGTTGGCCGCTCTTCTACTGGTTCTCCCTTACATTCCCGCTTCCAACCTACTGGTGACAGTGGGATTCGTTGTCGCTGAAAGAGTACTCTACATACCCAGGTAAATGTGTATTCATATGTATTCGATCACCGTCCGGGTACAGTACTCGTTTAGTATAAGAAATGCGTACTTACTGTTGTGATAGGTACGTTTCCCTGGCACCACAATGTTGAAAAATCTATAATTTTTTGTGCCATTAATTTTACCATAGTTTGTACCGATTTGTTCCACTCATTTCAGAATTTGTACCAACGAATTTCTCACGGAAAATTCGATTTCTCTTTAGGGGTGTCAGGAAAACATTTCCTTGACACCCAAAATCACACCTAATGAACTATTCCACATATTTTTTTGCGCCATTAATTGTACCATAATTTGTACCAATTTGTACCACTCATTTCAGAATTTATACCAACGAATTTCTTATAGAAAATCAACTTCTCTCTACGGGTGCCAGGAAAACGGTTTCCACGGAAAATTGAATATGATATTTTACTTTATTATATCGTATTATGTGAGTGTGTGATTTTTTTACCAATTAAATAAAATCGTATAAACATCCAAATTTCGGACTGGTAGAACAACAAAATCAGGATTTATATGACCGTAAATAATATTTTGTAGGTTGAAAACCCGCAAATAACATTACCTGTTATAAAATATATAACATAATACAGTATAATAAATATTACCAACAATATTATTGCACGCTAAAATAGGCACATATTTTGTTAAGTTATTAATTATATATTTGATTGCACTTGTGAACATTTATCAATCAAGGATTTGACGTTACTACTAGGTATTACTTTCTATGATAATTCTATTGCAATAATTGTGCTTCATGTACGGTATAAAGGAATTTATATAGTTGAAATGATTGTTAAAAGATTTGAAATAACATTATTGGTAGAAAACTGATTTTTATATAAATTATATGAACGTCGGCTGTTTAAAATAAAAACATGATATGACTTATACAACGTATTATCATTTAGCCCCCGACGACGTTTATCGCATGTTTAAAAAATTCTAATCATATTGATTAACATTATTTATACGTCTCACAATGGGTACGGTCTTATATTTATTAATTAACGATTAATTTATCTGTGTAAAATGTTACAGAGAGGTATACTAAATCGATTATCCGAATCGATACAATAATATTATACACCCCTAAAGGGTTTATAATTAATTATAATTAATTAGGCACCCCTAAAAAGAAATCGATTTTTCAGTGGGAAATTCGTTGGTACAAATTCTGAAATGAGTGGTACAAATTGGTACAATTTAATGGCGTGAAAAAATTATAGATTTTTTTAACATTGTGGTGCCAGGAAAACATTCCTTGTTGTGATCAAAGTAATCCGAAAATAAATGTACTAACAAGTTTACGAACAGTGTTTTATTTGCACCGGTACTGAAATTCAATAGGTTTTTTTTTAGTAATTTTTAATCGCAAGAGTCCACTTGCGAAACATATTATTATAACACTCTTTTAATATTAAGGCTGGTTTTCACATCACTTCCGTGTACGGTATGATAAAATCGTTCGTTAAAAATACATTACATTGCGTTTTCTAGAAAATCGATATTTATTACTTGAAAACGAATTTTTGTCAGACGATTTCGTAATCCTTTTGAAACCCGTACAATAATTGTATTCATTATCATTGTGCTGCATATTTGTGATATAAAACATAATAAATTAACGTGTTTACTCCACGTTATAGTTATATCAGCAGTTGACGTAGCAATATTGACAACCAACACTGCGCAAAATGTAATCCGTCATACCGAGCCACTGCAATACTATATTATTTTTCAAGATTCGATTATCAAGAACGCAATATCCATTTATACTAAAATATTTACTCGATATATGTTTAACGTAATGTTTCTAATTTTCAGTATGGGACTAATTCTGTTGTTCGTATACGGGTTGCAATCGCTCCTGCGCCACAAAAAGTCCTCGTGCTGGATAGTCTTAACGGCCAAATTCTTAGTGGGATTCACACTTTTCGTGTTCGTGGCTAGGACCGTGCTGAGAAACGGCGATTGGCTGTCCAGACCGACCATAATCAAGTAAGTTACATAGGCTCGTATATGGGGATACGGGGGGGGGGGGGATTCATTCTCGACCACTGGAATTTTAAGAAAATTTATGTAATCGATTAAGAATCATTAGTTTTTTTTTTCAATACAATTTAGACATGTAAAAAAAATAACCGGTATTGGGTTCTTTGTCCCAATTTCATAATAACCGATAGTGATCATCGTAATCGTAGTCATTAAGAACCTTAAAGCTCACCGGAATTTTTTTTCCTCCGTCCACACGTCTTCGAGTCACTACTGTATACAGCCACCCCTCCGACCATCCGGTTACCATGTGTATCGGTTCAGACCGATCGCCTAGCAGAAATTCACTCGTTTTCCAAACACAATAACACCTTAACTCATTTCTATGGACTATACATATATAGAACTGTGTATGTGTATGTACTGTCGGAACCGCAAGGTCCAGTGTCGATCGTTAGAGTATTACCACGTTATTTACCACCGTTAAGCCCGTGAACCGCATTGCAATCGACCGTTTCGAAATACATGTACATAAAGCATAATGTATATTTACCATTACGGCGGCGGTTGGAAAACGATGCGCGGCAAACGCTATTACTGTAAATGACTATAAACTACCACTGACAGCTGCGTGTATTGCAGTCGAACAAGAAGCACGTGGTTTTCAACTATTATGACTTACGGAAACCCGATAATCCGGACGTTTCGACCGACGTACAACCGTATAAAATTTCCTATTTACCGTCTGCTAGTTGAAAAACTCTGGTCGTACATCCCGACGACGTGTCCAATGAGACCAAGAACGAACATCATTTTCAATGGTGTACGTGGTGGTGTCACCGAAATAGTAGAAAAACAGTTCTTAAAATCACGTCGACCTATGTTTTTCATAATTATAGTATATCGAAGCGAATTTAGAAATGCGATAACATACATTTCATTCCATATCGAATTTTTTTTAAATTACAAAACAACAAATGAATTCCAATATAAAGAATACAATTTTTTTTTTTTATCAAAACCATGAAAATAATAGTTTTTGCTATCTCAATATGGAATAAACTTTTTTGAAAAAGATAGTGATAATAATATCAATTTCCTATTTAACCGATTGTTATAATCCACCATTAATTTTCCAATAAAAAAAATCAATATAATTATAGTGTTTAGATTGTATAATATTAGATTGAGCATATAAGAGTATAGTTGTTCTTTCAATTTATGTTATTACTTAGTTATTTTAAAATATATGTCATAGCCACTTAGTGAAATTTACCATTTCATGAAATGAAAACGGCTTTTTAACACTTCGTGAAATACGAAAATATTTCATGATATGGTCACAATTTCATAAAACGGTCGTTCTAATTTAACATCGTGTACTTTTTTTCACAATCTGGTCATTCACTTTGTGTACCAAAAATATATTTCATATTTATCATGGTCTTACAATCATTTTTATCAGGAGATATGAAATGTGTTATAAGTTATAACTTATAACTATTGATTTAAGCGCGAAATCCCTTTACCACAAATTGTAGTATACAATAATATCTATTAAATAAATTACATGGTTATCTGAAATGAGCAGATTTTATTTTTTTATGATTTTGATTTATCATATTAGATTTTTGTTAAAGTTTAAAAGTGTATAGTCGGTGAACGGATTACATTGTGCTCGCACATTCACGCATTTTAGGTACTTACTTTAAAATAATTTTGTGTAATCTTAATAATATGGAAGATTTTAATCCAAAAGTAAATTTTACATTTGAATGGACAAGTACTATTTGGACAGATCGGGAAAAAAGCTATTTACAAATATGAAGATTGAGACAATTACGGCCGAAATTAATGATGCTAAATTAAATAAGTACCAACAAAATTAATTAATTTGACCACCTATTAATCTTGAGTAACGGTAATTCATTTAAATTTAAAAATACATGCTATTTTTTCACAGAAGTACAAAAAAAAGACGTGATTATTATATTTTACAAAAATATGATGTATTAACTGTGGCCGAGAAGAAATATTTAATTCATGAAAACATTGATGACAAAGATGATATCAAGTAAGATATAGTAAATAAGTAATTCAAAACAAATTACGTACGAAAACTATACCACGATGGCCATGGCGTGACAGTCCGAAAGTGGCTGGAACCCGATTGAGCACGATTGATCTTTTTTGTAACCTGATTGAACTCGGTTGCAATCAAACAATAGGAACCAAAAAAGAACCCAGATGCAAGATTTTTTTATAGTTATTATGTAATTCAATATTAGATTTGTAACGATTATTTCATAATTTAAAATTTTTTCGGCTTAGGTTTCATAAAAGAAATAACTCTCCAATAGAAAAACGACAAGACACCGTTTTTTTCGCATTTTGTATATTGTTGCTGTATAGAGCTCGGTGCATCCATATTATTATTATAAAATAAAATACATTTGAATATAATGATTTATAATTAAAAATCTTTTATTGGATTTTAATCGCATGTTATAATTAAATATATTTTTTTTTTTTTTTTGCTAAAAATAGCACTCATACAATTGTCATGAAAAAGGTAAAAATTAAAATTTTTTCCCTAAATACTTATTTCCAACTTTCAATAAGTATTTAAGTGGGTTGCCAGCATTTTTAAATTCAAAGTACTCGCGATAAGCCTTTATAGCGATATTTTGAATGCACGGTAAAGTCAAGGAGCACACAACAATTTTCGAAATATCGCGCCACAATTTTACTGCGGGACACTCGTGTGTTGTGCTCTATTCATTTTAATGTACTTTCACAAAACGCGCAGTTATATTACGGTGCGGTAAAAATGTTGCATCGTAAAATAATGCTAGTGTGTTGCCAGCCTAATAGTTAGTTTTCAATAAGACAACGATCACACAATATTTATTTTTTTTTACCGTGCTCAATCGGGTCGTCAAAAAGGTCGGCCGATAACGACCATATCACTGTACGGGTATCACCGCCGAGATCGATTACTGTGTTCGACCAAGGAAAAGCTGAAAAAGTGTGATAGCCATGGACCGAAGGCTTGCCAATAAATATTACGAATGTGCGCTACAGCAAGTGGAAATCCGACGCTATGGCACGTTGCACGTGAATATAACACGTGTCGCAGCGCACACGTAGATAAAATAAATAAATAAATAATAATATACAATAATAATTCATTTATATATTTTATAGGTATGTTTTTCTATCAATATGCACAATTTAAAATAGTAAGAGAGGGTCCAATCGTAAATTTGTTATCGAACCAATTGTAATCAAAGACTTCAACGAGAGGGGTCAGGTTGACTTGTGGATTTCCAGTCATTACCTGACGGAAAATATAAATGGATTTTAAACTATCAAGACCACCATACAAAATTTATATCTTTATTTCCACTTGAAAGTAAACAAGTAGTTGAAGTAGCATTTAATTTAATCAACATTTTTTTAACTTTTGGTGCACCGAAAGTTTTACAAAGTGATAACGGTAGAGAATTTGTAAATTCTGTTATTAACGAAATTAAGAAACTTTGACCGGAATTTATTATTGTACATGGGAGACCAAGACATCCTCAGAGTCAAGGAAGTATTGAACGTAGCAATCAGGATTTCGAAAATATGTTTCGAGCATGGATGAAGGACAATAAATCTAAAAAATTGGTCTATAGGATTGAAGTTTGTCCAATTCCAAAAAAAATTTTCACACAACCGCATAATTGACCGATCTCCTTACAAAGCATTATTTGGTTGTAAGACTAAGGTTGGGTTAACAACATCTAACTTACCACAAGAAGTTTTAAAAAAATGAACAGCTGAAGAAGATCTTGAAGAAATATACAACCAATATGAAGAGGAAATAGAAGAACAAAAAAATGTTAAAACGATATTGTGGAAATTGTAAAATTGAATCCACAGAAGACTTTTGTTATTTGTGTATGACAAATCAAAAACTAGTACCTAGAAGAACGTGAAATAGCGCATATAGGTAAAAAAAAAGCTGCCGAAAGAATGTTACAGGTATCTAATTATTTATTATATTTAACAATTCGACATACAATGTAAATAAATTGGATGTGTATAGTATATTTAAGTAATTTTTTTGTTATTTGTTACAGGTTATAATTCTTACATTCAATACAAATAACTGCATTACAATTCCTGTTTCAAAAGTCGATAAAGGGACTTTGAACTCAACACGCATGATTGCTGTTATAGTTAAGAAAAAAATGAGATATATAGAGTAGGAACTGAACATAGTTTAATTAAAGGATGGTTTAGTTCTAAAAATATGCAGCGTACCACAACACATTTCATATCTGCTGATCAAGTTGACAAGCAAAACTAATTAACTTTGCGTGAAACAGTTAATATTATATCTAGAGGTCAAAGATTTTTGAGTTGTACATGCAAAAGTGCTTGTCAAACTAAACGTTTTGCTTGTCTTAAAAGTAGTATTAAATGTAACAGCCGTCGCCATAATTCATTAAATTGTTTAAATAAATCATTATTAACTATACGATAAATTATATTATATATACATTATTAAAATTAATATATAATTTATTTAATTACCTAAATATTACTACTCATATTATTAATTATATCAAAACTAAACTTAATATATTACACAATATAACAAACAAAAATTATTATAAAACTTTGATAAACATAAAATATATTTTCGGTACACAAAGTGAACGACCAAATCGTGAAAAGAATTACACGATGTCAAAATGGAACGACCATTTCATGAAAATGTGATCATATCATGAAATATTTTCGTATTTCACGAAGTGTTAAAAAACCGTTTCCACTTTATGAAATGGTCAATTTCACTAAGTAGCTACAACATATACATTACGTTATTTAATTTTATAATAGATTTTAAAACATTTTTTTTTTTTTAAATACTAATAATTAAGTTATCATCTTATACATAAAATATATTTATAACAATACAATCATTAAAACATATAATATTGGTATATATAAAGCTTCGTTTTGCTATGAATTTACTTTAGTAATTTCAGAAATTCAGTTGCAAAGGCGTTTGATCGGCGTAATATAAAATGATAATAAAATACATTTGAGCTGTTCCTTCGAGTGTGTTACAATTACATTCCACACGATTTAGAAAAAAATAAAACTTACAGCGGAGCTCGAAAAAAAATCGGTTAACCACTAGAATAAATTTTCTTTTAACGTGTTTCCCTACAGATGAAACATATTATTATCATTTCAACCCTATCTCAGTAGTAATATTCTTGCTTCAAAACATTACAGTATTGTATGCATGTATGTATTTGAGATTCCACATATTCAATTTGTTAAAAATGAAAACGTAAAGTAGGAAAATCGATGGTACCTAATGCATATTTTATCTCCAATTCCCCGATAGTTCGTAAAGTGTATTATATCATATAATGTATGAGTATAAGTATATTATATAGTATAAAGTGATGTGACTTTTCAGGGCTGGCTTGAAGACTCTGCCACACAACGCCAAAATGCACTATAACTGGGCGAATTACCAAAGGGATGTAGGGGACACGCAGACAGCTGTAAATCACTATAGGGAGGCGTTAAGGTAAGAATCCCAAAACGCATTTAAATTTCTGAAAAAAATCATAAAGAATGTTCGATAAAAACACTTCGATCTACACTTTTTGAACTTTTCTTCGAGAGGAAAAGTAAAATCTGTTGTTAAATGAAATTAATATTTTGTTACGTATACCATGGTCTCAAAAAACCTGTAAGTCAAGTCCATAACTTGAACGGCTATTACTTTAAACTCTAGATGAAACAGAAAAAGAAGAAAATTATAGTTATACCATATTTAATATGTAAATGCTTGAGGTTGTGACATTTTCGGAACGTTAACAAGGTGATAGTATTAGTCTCGTTTTGCAGTACGTGTGCGGGTGTGTGTTTGTCATGCAAAAAAAAAAAAAAAAATGAAAATTCGGTACAGATTCAAAGCCACAGTAAATACGGGTATTTATATATTTATCTTGAGCCATTTTTTTTAACGTTTACATATATACATAAGCCTTACATTTTTTTTTTCTTCCGGAAATAATTATTATTGCAAGACGTAAAAGACGACCATATCTCGGTGTCCCTTCTGTTTTTATCTTTGGTTATTTTTCATGAAGACGGTGGGGTATTAAAAAAAACGAGTTTTATTGTGAAGATACTCCAATAGCGTAGACAATATTTATGACGAGGGGGATCTGAGGACTGTTTGTTTTTCTGTTAAAGGTTAAAACGTGCACAAAGCGCAAGATAAACTGCTGCTGTTATGCGTGACATGTTAAAATATAAATAAGCTCCATTGGGATATAACGAAAACTTTGGTAGAGCATAAATTACACGTTTTTGTTTGTATTATCCTTTTGCTGATAGTGAATTCACTATACTTGATTACATTGTGTTTAATAGTTTCAATTGTTAGGCTTTATTATAATTATTTTTCTTCTTGCAAACAAGTTGTTTCTTTTTTTTTTTTTTTTTTTACTTACATTACTTTAATGACCAGTTTCAGTTAGATATTGCCAGAGAAAATTAAAACTTTTTAAATAATTTTAACGTCACAAATATTTTTAAATTCATTTTAATTTCGACTTTTAATTAAATTTCAAGTCAATGATTCGACGCGGACAAACATACTACAAAGCAATAACACAATAATATTATATTTACTGTACGATAACGTATAAATTTAATTGAATCAATAAACATGTTAATATCGAAACCGTAATACGAATACATTCCCACTATGTCACGGTTTTGGTTTGATTTAACACTGTTATGATCATTAGCGTACCCCGGAATTTGTTTATGGGAGGGGGAGGGACGTAGCCGGGATTTTATTTCAGAGGCCCCCTCCCCGGTCAACTAAAAAAAAAAGTTACGATCTAGTCAGATGATAAAGGACAATCATGATTATTATATTACAAATCTATCTTAACTTAGGTACCTACTAATTATAACCGTCATTTCTTATCAACATGGTTATCATGAAGTTTAGTTTTTACGATGGTCTATCGTTTATGTATATATATATATCTACCTCATATACAGCTATATGGTATACATATACGAATATATTTATATATATATATATATATATATATATATATATATATATTATATATTTATAAATAGTAGTCACTCGATAATTCAAAATTCAGAGGATCAAGTTAAAAATTCGATTTATAGAGGTTTTCGATTTCCGAGTATTCGAATAATCGAGGGAAAAAAATTAATTCAAATTAAAAAGAGGTGAAAAATTGTATTTCTTGTATATACATATTATAATATTTCACAATCATTAATTGATACATATTTATTTATTTAACATATTATGTAATATATTTTACGTACAAAAGAATTCTGTTATTTTTTTTGTGATAAAATGCTAGACCCTTTGAACCCTCCATTAGCTACGTCCCTGGGGGGCACAACATTTTTATTTTATCTGTTCTCTAATTAAAATTAAAGTTTAACTCAATACCAACAAATTACTGCTTATATACTATAGTATGGTTTACACATTATAGGTATATTATATAATCTATAATCTTTGTATATTAAAGATAATGGGAAATTAAAATACACTATATACTATTATTATACTATTTACTATTAAATCGTTGACTAGGTAGAAATTTCAATGGGGGGTTCGGACCCCCCCCCCCCTCTTGGATACGCTCTTAGTTACGATTATTGCTTTGAACTCTATATGGCCGATCCGATTTTAGTTACTTGTCAGTTACGCACCAAGTCGTACAGTCTTTCGAAGGAGATTTTTTTTTTTACCGATTCGCAATCGTTTTAACATCGTAAATCATGTTTCTATTATGAGAACCGATAGCGCACATATTGGCCGATGCTTTTTCGACTACGATAGTTTACAACTCTCAATATGCCTATTAAATGAATCCTATATAAAAGCAATGCCGTAGGCGTTATAGAGTTCTTTTTTTGAAAACCGTTCAGACTGTTACGGTGGTGTTTGGTTTCAATTTCCTGCCATTTTGATGAGACGATAAACGAATATTGCTAAGAAATCGTCTGCCAAACCGTTGTAAACAGTAATTGTTTTTGTCTACAGTACCCTATCGCAGTTTTGCATTCCGTTCTTTCAATGGTCCAAATAATAAAATTCTCCTGCCCCGCTGTGCGACCAGTTTTCCAAATTTTAATCGTTTTCTTATCACCCGCATTCACTAACCTGAAGTGGGGTAGGGTGGAATCAGGAACGATAGCAACTTTTAACCGCCTCTTCTCACCACCGGTTGTTTTAAGACAACGCCAACTCCGCGGGATCGGGGCGAATTCGACGTGGGTTCTTTAATTTTTTCTCGATGCGGGATGTAACTGCCGAGAATCCACAAATAGCATGTGGTTTCCGAACAAGCCACGTTCGTTGATATCTCACTTTTCGTCGTTTTTTACGTCGTTTCGAACACACTCCGATCGCTGCGGTAACACTCGGACCCGACGGGATAAGTGCAAGTCTTGAAAACGCGTAAAGAGAAGTAAACGCCGGTGTTCATTTTCTGGTTAGCAAACAATCTCTCCTTATCGATCACACAGGGCCGAGATTTTGGTCTCCTCCGGTCGGTGTTGAACGCACCTCACGTACGTATTGTGCACACGTATGCCCACGCGCAGCTGCAGTGCAGAGGTTTTCCGCGTCGCTGCACTGTGTTCCCCGACGGCCGCTTGTACTCTTGACGCACCGCGTACGCGATAATTAGTACTCATTTACGGTTGTGTGGTTTGACCGCTGTAGCGTATTGAAGACAGAGAAAAAAGGATTTTTATTTTTTTTTTTTTTGTAACACCGTGCCGAAGAAAAACAGATGGTGAGGGTTTGTGCGAATAAAAAACCAAGATAATACTGTTGTCAATTTTATTATTGTCTAGGAAACAAAAGCAGTGACGTAATGTGGACTAGTGAAAAGCTTGGATAATGGAAACTTTAATTTAATAAATTAATATTGAAATTAATATGTGATTGAAAGAGGAAGAGAAAAAAAAAGAAGAGTGCAATAATTTAATTAATTTAGCTTTGACCGCTCGTTTGCTACTGAAATAAAAATATGGTTGGATAATTATTTCGACGGAAAAAACTGAGGAAATTGAATTTGGTATTTAATAACTGGACTCAATACAATATAATAAATAAGTAATAATAAAATTTAATTAATAAAAATATGATTCTATAGTAAATAAAATAACAAAACGTTCGAGAAATGCATTAAAAGGCACTCAATGTTTTAAAATTATACTTTGTACAGTTTGTAACAATTAATTCTATATACCTTCTTAATCTATAATGCTTTTTATATTAGTCATAAATATAAATATATCTATAATTTTGAAATAATTACTATTTACTTCAACATCTCTCATTAAACGTTGTTCAACATGATTGAGTTAATTAAAGAAAAAATTGTACGATATTATTTAATGGGAGTATCGATAATAATATAATTTTATTCCTGAGACATTACTAAAGAATAAAGTGTGTATTTTTTCTGCATATTTTTATTATTATTATTATTATTATTATTATTATTGTTATTTGGATATTATTAGCTTTGTAAACGTAAGTATTTTAACAATAATAAGCAATAAAAAAGTTAGGTATATTTCAAAAAAATATAATACTACCTACGTGCTCCGGTATAAAATACACACGTTCAATGTAAATATATTTTGTGCAATATAAAGTGTGATTTTTAAACATACACCACACCTTTCTTTATGGCTAAATTAAACATTTTTTTTTTTTTTTTTTAATCATAATGTACGGAAAACGTATGTGCACTTTTTCCAATACAGTAATTGTTCACACAACTTATGGAGTATCCAGTGGCAACTTATATCAATTTTTGTTTATCAAACGAGAACACATATATTTTTCTAATTATCAATGTTTGAAACTTTTCTAAAATATTCTATGTAATATAAGTGTCAATAAAAATAAATATAATGTAAATCTGGACTTGGTAGGACTTACCACCGCATAAAAAAATCATACGGTATACCCAGAGGTGGAACTAGGACTTTTTACGCCCGGGGAAAATGTTAAAATTACGCTTTATCATAGACCAATAATAAAATACTTTTCTCGAAAAATTTTTTCTAATAATTAAAATACAATCATACTTATTGAGTTTTAACCTAATAATAGTAATTAAAAAAATTAAAAATATCAAATTAGTTGTTAATAATTACAAAAATTACACCCTCAATCATTTTACGCCCGGGTATTAATTCTTTTATCCCACCCCCTAGTTCCGCTTCTAGGTATACCTCTACGCGTGTAATAGGTAATATAATGTGACAGGTTATATTCCTGTTATTTCGGGTGTGCAAATGTCAATCAACCCCGGGACAAATTAAATCGAAATCCGTTCGTTTTCGTTGGCGACTGTAATTCCGAACATAGTTCGACAGTAACCGGTGCACGTTTGCCGCCGTCCCGCTGGATGACGAGCGATTTTCTTTTTCATACGCACACCCAACTCGTATTATTTTATTTTCTCGTCAACATCTCCGGTTCAATAAATC